TGTTTATAAGTTCCTTTCTGGCCTTTCTTTTGCTTTAGTCCTATTTTGCAAGGAACTGAAATGCCCTCCCCTTGTTGTTACAGATTCTCAGCACTCTAGCTGTTGGGGAGCTTCAGACAGGTATGCATCCTACTAGAGAGTTATTTTCTCCTGCTTCTTTAAAAACAAGGGATGCAGATCCTGCCAAAGCTAACAGCAGGGGAGAGATCATTAGTTGACTAAATATTTCCACAACAAAAGTTGGGAAGTTTAACCCCAAGGGTATTGGTATTTCTAACCATTCTCTATGGATCAACAATTAGGCCAAGTTCATCTATCAGTTATGAAACAGCCCAGAAAGAATTTAGACTTTTTGTTTTTGTCAAGCAGAGAAATAAACAGAAAAGTATGGAAAACACTACACAAAAAGTCCAGATTAATTATTTCTACATCTGTTACTATTTGCCCTTTAACCAGTCAGAAATGATCTAATCGAGTTCAACATTTTGTTTTCGTAGTACCTACTATGTGTGACAGGAACTCCATATAGCCTACAAAGGAAATCTTTTGAAATGAGATGTAGTTTGATTAAAACAACCCTATGGTGGTTGAGCATTATTTAGAAAAAGTAGATTCTTTCATTTTTGGCCAGAGTGGTCTCATCTATGTTTGAACTCATCAGCAACAATGGCTTCAGTTCTTCCAAAGTTGGAAGAGAGGATGGTACTGTGCATGGATTTGGGGGTCACTTTTAATCTTGTCTGCACAGTTACCAGCTGTAAGGATGAATGAGTTCTTTGAGCCTTTCTCCTCCACTGAGAAATGGATGGAATAGTGTCTTCCTCACCAAGCATTTGAGGAACGAGGGCAATGGCACGAGTGTCCAATAATGCCAGTTTCCTTTGTCATTTTGTGACAAGGCTGGAGCTAACACACCTTAGACAGGCTGGGACAGAAGCAAGCACTATATAACTACAATTTCTTTTATTTATTTAAGGTAGAAGAATAGAACATTGACTTGGTTCATTTTGTGAACCTTCTATTCCTGTGCAACATGGGCATTGATACAAGTTGCCTTAAATTTATCTTTTGATGGCACTAAGGAAAGTCTTTGCCTAGGTTCTTGTGTGTACATCTGTCTTGGGTTAATAAAGTTAGAATGATGGTTGAAACAACTTCTTGGTGCTAGGTTTCTAAACATATAAAGTTCTGAGGCCTTTTGTCTTTTTTTTTTCCAATTGAGTGAAAACACTGACAGCCTCTTTTGAGGGAATTTTCTTTGAACAGGGAAGGTAATATTTGGGGGAGTCTAGGCCTTTTGGGTGGACATTGAAAAGCACATTGGTCAGAGTACTCTGTTGCCAACTGTGGAAACCAAATCAGGAGATCATGAGTTTCCCGGAGAACCATTGGATAGCTCAGAATATTGACAAGAGCTTGGAGAAGGAAACTCAGAAAATGGGCAGAAACCAAGAAAGGCCACACATCATGAAGGTCTGCGACAGAAACAATCTTTCTGAACTGCTGCCTCCAGCCGCGACACTTTGGGATGTTTGCCACACTGCAAAGAGACTTTAAGATAGACTTTAAGATAGACTTTAAGCTGTAGCACAACTATCAGGGTTAATCTCTGACTGCCTTTATATAACTGTCTCACATTCTTGAGATTCAAAGTTCTGGGTGGGAGCATCTGATGAGCCAGTTAGGTCACATGACCATGCTCTATGCACCATAGAACTAGGGCACGGACGGAGAGCTATATGAAGATGGAGGGAAGAGGAGCCTTGACTCCAAACTACTATATATATATATATATATATATATATATATATATATATATATATATATATATATATATATATTTAACAATGCACAGAAACCAAAAATCAGTGTCCTACATAGGAGGTTCAGCTGATCCTGTCTCTGTCTTTGTGCATCTCTAGGTTTCCACAGTGGTTGGCCCCAGCCAGTGTGGGGCGTGAACCTCTTATGAGCAGACCTACTGCTCTGTTTTGTTCAAGGTCTGAGGCTGCATTTGATGGACATACATCATCTGGCATGACCTGGCTCTGCATCTGCTTTTATCTGATGCTGGCTTATGAGTTCTTGCCATGGTCAAAGCAGAGACCTCTGGAGTCGGCCAACAATACTGACAAGCACTTCCTGAAAAGCGAGACTCCATGCTGGAGATACTGCCTATTGACAAGCTCAAAAATGCAAAATGGAATATGAGCTATTAAAGTACTCGGGTGCATCATGTTAAAAGTTTCTGGTTTGATTTTAGGCACCGAACAATTTATTCTTTTCCTTTATTCATACCACAGAGGATCAGTTTTGCCAAAGCAGAGGAAGCAACTAAGGAGCAAAATAGTAGCCTAATAAAGAGCATGTTGAAAAGAGTATGTCTCAAAAGATAAAAAGCATTTATTATCTTTGGAGTTAGTCAGAATTGGGCTGGTTTTCAGCCCCAAACACTGCAGGAGTATAATTTTGGACTAGTGACCTAGCTTACCATAGTCTCAATTTTGTCATATACAAAATAGAGATATTAGTGGCCCTAAAATGGAATGGTTGTGAGGATTTAAGATGGTCTATTTAAAGCCCTAAGCCCAGGATTGCTCAGTCATGGGTTGAGTTTTTCAGCTCCCTGGGGTTTCCTTGCTCCCAGAAACAAGAAGAACAGTCAGCATATTTACTGGACTGTAAAGCACAAAGTTACTAGAAGCAGTTTGAATAAAAGTCAAAGGTTAGACATAAACAATGAAATAGAACATCAACATGGAAGAGAAAGGAAATTGAACCCAAGAATAGGCAGACTTGCTGTTCCAGCACAATCCCTATGTCAGTGCTAAAGTAATTTAGCAGTAAAGCCACCTGAGATGAGGAGGAGAGAGGAGTCCTAAAGGCAAGAGAGGCAGTCTTGACAGTGCACATACTGTTCATCTCTCTAGCTGAGTGCTGTGCACACATATCACATGAGAACCAGTAACGGCCCAGGAAGTAGGCACATGACTACCCTCACAGCACAGATAATGAAACTGAAGTACAGAGAGGCAGGGAGTGACGAACTAGGGTTCCTTCTGACCTCAATTCCTTCACTTCCCAGTGAAGTGGAAGAAAATCAGCTTCAGTATATACAACTCTTCCCACTTAAGAAAGCAACCGGACTAAGTCAGAAATAGTTTAGTGTCATTCAAAATTTGGAAATTGGGTCAGTTGTCCACAGTGATCCCATGACTCTGCTGAGGTTAGGCTGGGAGATCACAGAGCCCATCTGAATCAACACCAAGGGCTCACTCCATTCAGGTGGGAGGGTGTGGGTGCAGGGACAATGTCCCAGCAAATGAAGGAAGTCCCGTTCACGTTAGTGCTATTATAAAAAATGAACCACTGAACTTCATCCCTGGCATTGTTTAACGGGCATCCCTAATATTATTTAATCAATTGAATCATCTAGGAAGGAGCTGACAAATGATGACTGGCATTCATATGTTTTTGTAAATAAATAATGTTTTGTAAAGTTTTATTGGAGAACAACTACATCCATTTGTTTTTGTATTATTTAAGCCTGTTTTCATGTTGCAATGTCATATTTGAGTAGTTTCAACAGAGACCACATGACCTATAAAGCCAAAAATATTTACTCTGTGCCTCTTTAGAAAGTTTCCTGACCTCTGAGGTAGGAAAGTATGTCTATGTTTGAATTTCCTCCTTACTGTTTTGTTAGAGCTCAGCTACTCCAAAGTTAAATGTCTTGTGGTCAATTTTTATGAAGTAGGAAAGATAACCAGAAGGTGGCAATTTTATTGCCTATAAGTCATTAACCAGTGGTGTCTCTATCAGCAAATTCACTTCAGTGTCCCTTTGACTGACTGATACATCATTTCCTTTCTCTAATCCCCTTCAAACCAGCATTACCATCCTATTGGTTCCCTCATTAGTGAATAAGATGTTAAAATTCATATTCATATTATTGTGTTTTCAAGTTTTATTTTATGTGAGTCATGTGTTTACCTTTTTAAAGTTATAATTTGACAACTTCAAGTGGAACTGTAATGGTTAACTTTAGGTGTCAGTTTGACTTGATTGAGGACCACAGAGAGAACTGGTAAAGCCATCTGTCTAGGTATGTCCATGACAGCGTTTCCAGTCAGTGGATCCAGTGGAGGAGACCAGCCCTCAGTGTGGGTGGGCACCATCCAATCAGCTAGCGACTCAGATGGAACAATAAAAAGCAGAGAAAGAGAATATTCTCTCTACCATCTGGAGCTGGGATACTTTTCCCGTCATCCCTGGACATTGGAGCTCCAGGTTCTCTGACCTTTGGACTCCAGCAGCTCTGCTGGGTTCTCAGGCCTTTGGCTTTTCACTGAGAGTTGCACCATTGGCTTTCCCAGCTCTGAGGCTTCAGATTTGAACCAAGCCACACTGCCTGCATTCCAGAGTCTCCAACTTGCTGAAGGCCTGTGGTGGAATTTCTTGGCCTCCGTAATCATGTGAACCAACTTCGCCAATAAATTCTCTCCCTACTGGTTCTGTCTCTCTGGCACCACTGCATATAACAGGAGCCAGAATGGTGGCACTTCTCAGGACAGGAAGAATCAAACTGACCAGCTGTCCCCATTGGTTCCAACTATGGTATTGTACCTCTTCAATTCACACAACTCTATAAAGTATGTTAATCTTCAAAGTGGGAAAATTAAGATAATAGCAATACCCACCTTATAGGGTGCTTTTGGTCATCAAAAAAGATAATTTAAGTATTCAGCACAATTATTAGTGTTGAATACTTATTAAAGGATAACTTCATTAACAGTGGGATTATCTTATGTAACAGCTGTTTTGAAGGCTATAAGTGACATATGTTTGATTCCTACCCCTGCTTTAGCAAAGGAAGGAAAAAAAAGGGGAACTATGCACTGCATCTATTTGAGTTCACAGAAGCAAAGAATAGAAATAAATCTACAATAAAATAAATAGAATATGTATAGATAAGGGAATAGACATAAGCCTAATGTGAATGGTGATGGTAAGCAGATGAGACTGGCAAAAATATTATAGTCACCTATGGAAACCGTAAGGTATTTGATGAGGATGTATAGCAGCTGGAGACCAGGTGGACTGTAGCCTCTGGTGACTTCTTTTCACATCTATAAAATGAGATGAGGATGACGCTGCAAACACAGCTTGAGTGTGTTGAGATCACTGATTGGGTCCTGTTCTTCTAGTCTTTGGAATCTTCCTCTGCTTCGGGAGGTGCTGGGAGATAAGATGTGTTCCTCTTTAGTTCCTAAGGGCACAAAGTTGGCCAGTTTTATTACATTATGGGAACTGCCTACCTCAATTGCATTGACAAGGCATGGCAGGCCTATATGTGTGTCCCTCTTTCTCTAATCTCTTTAATTCCATCACCTGAACATTTTATTTGAAATTGATTTTTAAATGTCTGAGTAATTGAGGTTTATGTGCAGTTGTCTCCTTGCGACAGAGGTAAGCTGAGGCTGCTTATATCCTCATTAAAGGCTGATTAGAAGTGATTGCATTGCTAGAGGTCTTGATTTTTGCCATTCCTGAGGGCTCCTATTGGAGAACAGCTTCTATACTTGGAAGACCTGTACATCTGGAGAGCAGAACAGTACAGTATTGGGTTTTCCATCTCTCCTGTGTATATTCTGCAAGATCAGTTTCAACAGGGGACATTTTATAAAGCTTTCTATCTCTGGGATACACCCAGACTCTGCTGAAGGCAAAATATTCATTTATTTTCCAGACACTCAAGAGCTGCTTCCTTGAGTGAATCTTAGGAATAAAGCTTTCAGGTGGGAAGTCTAATGTCTTTGGTGCTATTCTGTATGCTTTGGGCAAATCCTAGAGCCTCCCTTTCCTTTCATACTTTTTCCCAGTGTGTTCAGCTCATATTCTATATGTGTGCCCTGGGACATACTCTTTACCAAAAAAAAAAAAAAAAAAAATGACCATCAGATTGGGCCTAGAAGTCAGCCACAAAGAACTGGATCTGAGTCTTGGCTCAACCATTAAAGGCAGGGGAGTACTGGCTACAGTCCTCTGGTTCAGTTCCTTCATCTTTGATGAAGATATCAAAGCCTGCTTCCCAGGATGAGTGTGAAGACGAAGTAGAATAATGTATATAAAGAGCTGAGCATAAAAGAGGAGTTCAGCAACAGGACTCCACCTAAAATAATCTTGCCTCACCTTTGGAGTCGTTAGTTTTGTTTGGATCTTCCACTATGGATCACGGACTTCTGAGTTCCATGAAAAGCATCAGCAAAATTCTAGAGTAAAAAGAAAAAATAATAAAAAGGCATTAATCTGAAACTACCCAACTCCCTACACTGTACACTACTTGAAGCAGCTATTTTTTTTTCTATTTTTTACATTGTCCTGTTATGGTTCCATTGGGAAAAAATGTATACTGCTTTGCAAACAAAAGTAGACTGTTAGTACTCTATTAGGAAACTCATAGAATCCACAAGTAGAACTCCCATTTCTTGTCCCACTGCAGTGCACTCTCAGTACACCAGGTGGCAGAAATTCCTTAACCGGTATTTGAATACATCTCACAGGCTGTCTGGACTGGTGTATCACTAAAGCTTTTGCTTCAGAGAAAGGAAGAAACATAGGGATTCAGATAATGAAGGGTTAAGCCTCTAGGACTTGGAGTTCCTCTCTTCTAGGCTAAATTCCATAATACTGATCTCTCCCTGTTTTTTTGATTTTCCCAAAATTGTCTCTGATGCATGGTTAGTCTCTGTTCTTCTAGCACCTTGTACTGTGAGGTCTGGGCAGTGTTTGCTCTCTACTAAATGTGTGCCCAAACAACTGACCATCAGGAGAAGCTGCTGGACGAGGCGGGGGGATGACTGAGATGGAACCTACCAGAGGCTGGGACTCTGAAGGGCAGAGGGAAGGCAAGCTAGTCTTGATAGAACCCAGAGTCAGAGCAAAAGGACAGGTGGGACTGAGAAGAATATGTGAGAAGGGAAAACGTGCAGGCTGGGAGTGAATGGGATTCAAGAGACATAGGAAAATGCATGTCCTGGATGATTCTAGAAAATGCTGAGTTCCCGTCCTTACTTTTCATAGACATAACAGTCAGAAAGAAGCAGGCAAACAAGGATCTTCTCCCCAGTTAAACACTGGGTATGTTTGCCCCTTCCCAGAAATGAAAAGAGCTAAATAGGAGCAAGGGTTAGGAAACTGTTTATTGAATGCCTGGTAGGCACCAGACTCTTCACTTAAAGCCTTGTGAACGGTGGGCTCATTTAACCCACAAAGCAAATCGAATGATCCATTCATTCACCATCAATGTATTCAGCATCCAGTGGCTCTGGGCTGTGGAAAGACAGCAGTTCACAAAACACCTCAAGTCCCCCTCCTTGTGGAACTGATATTTTCAGGGGAAAGAACAATAAATAAATAACTCAGCATTCAGTAGGCATTAAGCAATCTGAGATCGACATGCCATCCCTCTCTTGGAGGAGAGGAGGCTGCAGCATAAAGAGCTGATAAAGAGCTGATGTGAAATGGCCACAGCCAACCCTGACACACGTGTCTTGGGATCTTGTGCTTCTAAACTGCCAGGCCCTTCTGTCCTCCTCATTCTCTTGCTATCCAAGGAAATTGTCCAACTTTTTCTTTTGAAATACTCCCATCCTTTAAACCAAAGAACCAGCCAACCCCCATTGAACACCTTTGAGGCAAGTGCCAGGCCTGTACCCACCTCCAGGAAGGCTCTGAGCTCTACAGAGCCCACTTCTTCCCACAGCCCTGACACTACTACACATCTCCTCTTCAGATCAAATCGCATCGTTGCTTACCCATCTCAGCTTGGCTCTAGGTATGAATCTACAAGTGGCTGCTCCTGGGCCACTGTGCACTATGACTTAATGACCTGACTTCATGCAGTTTTTCTGGCTCAGTCACTTCTTTAAGCCTTTGAGGATTTCTTCTTCTCCTCCCCCGCTCCTTCTTAAAGAAACAGACTCATAATCAAAAGCAGAAATAAGCACATTAGAGTTCAAATCTATGCAATTCTGGACAGAGTTCCCGTGTTGCAAGTTCAGTCCTGGAGGTTGGCTTCCCTTTAAGCCAACATTTCTCACTTTAGGAATGCTCAAAAAGTATTGACTTACCTGGATTCCAGAGGTCAAGGACAAGTTGACAATAGTAGCAATACTATTGATCCAAATGTCCATCAATGAGAAAGTAGTCCTATGGTCACACAATGAAATATAATATATCCATGGAAATAACTGAGTTATGGTTCCATGTAGCAATTTGGATGAGTCATTGGACTACAATATTAATTTTTTAAAAACTCCAGAAGATTATGCACAGCATGACATCCTTTATATAAACTTAAAAACAATGTAAGTAAAGCAATGTATGTCTTTGTGCATGCATAAAAATTTAACAGAACCACGCAGAAGGAAAGCAAAGGAATAGAAAATTTAGATTGGAGAAAGCAGGGGATAGATTGGTGAGAGGCACCATATGCTCAGGTGTAATTTATTGATGAGCTCCTAGCTTTTGTTTTTGGTGGTAGGTTTATGCAAGCTTACCACAATTTTTTAAATTAAATAATAAATAATGTGATCCAGGCATTACCCAATGGTGAGAGTATGTTATGATCTATAGATTTTTATTAGTCTAATCATGTGTACCTGAGGTCTAGTTATAAAACAAGAACAACAAAGAGAAAACAAACTATGGTCATTTAGTCATCCTTGATCACTTGGAATTAAAGATCCTAATCTTCCATGGAAAGAGGAAGAGGGATGATCAGGTGTGCTGTTTCTCATATTTTCCTTCAATGTGATGTCTGCTGAAAATTCTCATGTGGCCCACACACATAGCACTATATTAGATCTACATTCTCAGCCTGCAAGTTGACAAGAGATTCCCAGTAAGAGCAAATATACTAATTGAGTCACCTAGGACTACATTCATGCATTTATTCATTCAGCAAATATTTATGGATGGGGCCCTATGCTACATACCGCATATAGAGTGGTCTTCAAAACCAGCTCCTCCTAGAGCTTAGAGACTGTTGGAAAAGACAAGGCACAGAGACACCCATGTCATGACTGCACAATTAAACGCTGTGAAAGGCCCAGTGAAGAAGAACAGACCTGAGTGCCAACAGAGAACACTGCCATTTTTGTCATTTTAAAGCAGTGTTTTTAAGAGAGGATAGCAATACAGAAAACAGCCCAATTTTGCTAGGCCTGCAGTTCACCATCTGTGCCCTGAATGGACATGTCTGTAGGAAAATATATCAGAAATGGCTTAGCTGGGGCATTGTGATGGGCTCAGGAAGTTCTCTCATTAGCCTTGCCAATGTGGCCAGTGTTCTCCATCTCCAACATTCTGATGCCAGCCCAGCATGGCTAGGGAGGAACAAGAGGAGAATCGTGGAATACAAGGTTTCTAAGGGGTGTGAGAGGAAGGGTCAGAGCTTATCAAGAGTTTGATGGAGGGACCTTAGCAGGGTTTTAAGCAGGCAAATAGCATGCTCTCATTTTACACTCTTAAAATGAACACCTGGATGTTGTGAGGAAATAGGAGTGGACAGCTCCAGAAATAGAAGCAAGAAGACCAATCAGGAGTGCAGAAACCTGGAGAGGGACGTTTGTGCCTTGGGCTGTGGTGGTGTTTGTGGAGACGGGAACAAAGGGAAAGGTTGGGCTATGTTTTAGAGGTGAAATCAATAAGACTTTTTAAAGGAGTAAAAGCATCAGTCAAGGGCAAAAAAGAGGAATCAAAGAATGATTCCTAAATTGTTGACTTAAGAAACTGGGTGTTTTATGGCACTGTATACTGAAAATTAAAAGATTTGGGTAAAAGGAGGATTTGAACCGGAGAGGACGTTGGAAAGTTGAATTCAACTTTCGATGAGTTAAATTTGAGATATCCATTAGACACTTGACTGGAAATTCAGGTAAAGAGGTTGAACATTTTACTCGGGAATTTGGGAAGAAATCAATTCTCAGACAGATCTGGGAGTTAACCCTATGGGTGGTATTCGAAAATCTCATCATGGACCCAAATAAGATTAGATGAGTGGAGAGGACAGAAAGAGAAAAGAAGGTCTAGGATGGAACTCTCAGGTATGTCAGTATTTGGAGGTCACACGGAGAAAAGGCAGAAAAAAACTGAGAGGAAGCATTCCTTGGGGTGGGAGGAAGGGTAGGAGAATGTGGATCCCAGAGTCCTGGAGAATTGAGAGTTTCAAATAGAGAGATGATGTTAAATGATGCAGAGAGATCAGGTGAGGGAAGAAAGAGACATGCCCATTGGTTGTGCTAGCACCGATGTCCTAAGGGTGTGGGAGCAAGAAATCCAGGTCAGGGGATTCAAGGGAGCAGAGCTCTCTTAGGAAGAGAACATTTTACAAACAACTAACCTAGACTTTGCACTAATTTATGGAGTAGAGAAAATGTTCTAGATAAAGAGACTTAGGAGATACAATCACAGGCAATGCATGAGCCCTGCTTGGATTGTTGTTCAATTAACGACAAAAAGACATTTGGTGGGGGGGATAATTGAGGAAATGTGAGTCTAGACTAGATAATAGATGATATTAAAGTATTTTTGTTAATTGTGTTAGGCACCATAACAGTATCATGCTTATGTAAGGAAATGTACTTATTTTTAAAAGATGAACTGAATATTTAGAAGTGAAATGTCATGAGGTCTGATATTTGCTTTAAAGTGCTACAGCCAAAAAAAAAAAAAGTAATGAAGGAAATATGACTGGAAGTTAATCATTTTCAAGTCTATATGATGAGTACATGGGGACTCATTATACAGTTCTACTTTTATGTGTGTTTGAGACTTTTCATAATAAAAATTATAAAGCAGGTATACTGTGATAGGGGAACAGAGAAACACGATGGTAGCCAGAGGAAAAATGGTAAGTTGAGAGAAGTTTTTCAATTAGTTTTCAAAAAGAAACACTAGATCATTTTCATGATGACAATCATTTGAGAGAGGGAGAGATTGATCATGTCGGAAAGGCAGGGAACAGGTATAACTGGGAGCTCCTTAGGGAACCAGAGGAGACCTGAGCAAGCCCAAGTGCAGGAGCTGGCCTCTGAGCTTGGGCACAGAAAAGAGACAGTTCAGCACAGATGGAGGAGAAGCGGTGGGTTTGGTAGTGGGAAAACAGGCTTGTTCTGCCTTCTCAGTGACCCAGAAGGAAGAGTCATCAGTGGAACAGTGATCCGGGGTGACACAGAAGGCAGAAAAAGAAAGGATTTAGAAATTTAGAAGTTGGGAATGTGTGGCTGGATTGCCATGTAGAGTTAAGGACTCCTTCATGAAATCAGGTCATGAAGTGCAATTGAGATAGGTCAACACCTGGTGGTCTTCTCCAGGAACAACCAGTTGTTCAGGTGAAGGCAGAAAGCAAGTTGGTGGTCGGCTCTAATCAGGTTGGGGGTATATACTGGTAGAATGAGAATTAGGTGGATGATTGATAGAATCTATGCTAGCCAGAGAGGAAACTGAGGATGCTCAGGAGAGAGGGAAACGTTAGTACGTGGATCAGAGGGCCTGATGAGGCCTCCAGATTTACTGAGCAAATGTTCTTGGCCCTGTGGGAGATTTGTATTAACTTATTAGATTGTTACAATGAGGCCCAAAGGGTAGGTATTGTTCCTGTTTGCCTCCTAAAGGTGAGTAGTTTAAAGGACAGAGAGGTTAAGGAACCTGTGTGCACTCCCACTGCTGTTTAAGGCTGAGATTTGATGCTTGTCCTCGTCCAAATCCACCCTTGACTGCTAACAAGAAACTTTGGGGAGTGGGTTTTTATGGGGTAGGTGAGCTGGAGTGTTAGAAAATGGAGGTCAGAAAATGACATGCTTGAAGTTGGGAAGGGTTTGAACATGGGAAAATGAGATGTGGTAGAGGAAATGATCCCTAGAGATGAGGAGATTAAGGAAATAAGAAGTCCAGAAGTTGAAGAATCACAGATACTGAGACCTCCAAGGATGGGACAAGAGGTAAAGGAATAGATTTCTTTACTGTAGAATTTCTGAGAGAGTGTCACATGGGCTGAGTTACTTTATAACATACCAGCAAGGAGAAGCATATGGTACATTTTTCAGATTTATTCACTCTATTATCTCTTCTCTCAGACACATATATTCTGAAATTCAATATATTCCTAGGACTATGATTCAAGAAATATTATTGCGGAGAGACAGGCTCCAAGGCAAAGCCAAAGTCTTATTGCTACCCCATTCCTGATGCCCAAACACTCAAGACTGATCCACCTCCAAATTGAGCAAGGAATCCTTATAAAAATATTCATACTCCACTGAGGGACAAGCTTGTGCCTTTAAGAATGGTTAATTACAAACTGAAAATTTCCATGTTCCTTCATTCGAGCAGCTTTGTCCAAATGGCCAAATGACCTGCCATTCTGATTGCCAGAAAAATCTCAGCTGCAAGCTGCTCTCCTAGAGCAATCTACGCCTGCTTTTCAGGCTTCAGAGTTTGAGATGAGCCAAATAATTTCCAAAGATAAGCATCTGACCTTCCCTCTTGCTGAAGCCAGCATGAATACTTGTTTTTTGAAGATTCAGCCATCATCCGTCATTTGCAATTATGGAACTCTGTGCTGCCCTGTACTTAGAGACCTGGGCACAGTTCACATAAACAACAAGCAAACCACCCTTCACCCCCCCTGCTTCTGCTAATGAAAACCTTTTAAACTGAACTTTTCATTGGTTATTTGTTACTGTCATTTGTCATTGTCTGTCCCCAAGATGATGGGTTTGTCACTAAAATCACTTCTCCCTAAGCCTTGCTGGGAATTGAATTGACATTCAAGTGCAAACAGTTCGGCCACGGATCCCGGTACAATTCCAGCCTCCATGATCTCATGCCCAGATTAATTTTAATCATTTGTAAATAATATGTGAGTGGTAATGTCAA